GAAGACTTCTAGCCTTGCCACGAGGGCAACACCGGGGACCGTGAACCTCTATATTCAACAGTCCTGAGGTTCCAGGGCCAGGGCTATGGTCTTCGGGTTCAGGATGTAGGGTTTAGGGTGTAGGGCTTTGGGCTTAGAGTTTAGGGTCTAGGGTCTAGACTTTAGGGCTCAGGGTGCAGGATTTTGGGGTTCAGAATTTAGGGTTTAGGGTAATTACAGGATTTAGGGCTCAGGGCGCAGGCCCTGAACCATAAAGCCCCCAATTCCTGCGCCAAACCCCTGGCCGCAGGCCTGCGCAGATCCTGGACTTGCGCAGTCAGCCTGAGCTTAGGGTTTTAGGGTTTATGGCTAGGGTTTAGGGTTTAGGGTATAGGGTTTAGGGTTTAGGGTATAGGGTTTAGGGTAGTTTAGGGCTTAGTGATCCCTAAACCCTGAATTCAGAATGCTCGCAGACCCTTCACGTGGAAGGCTCGGGGCAGCGATGTTTGGGGGCTTCGGGTCTAAGGTTTCAAGGGTTTAGGGTTTAGGGTTTAGGGCTTAGGGTTTCGGGTTTAGGGATTAGCACCGCGAACAGCTCGGGAAGACCCAGGCCCCACTCGCGGTTTAGGGTTTAGGGTTTAGGGTTTAGGGTTAGGGTTTAGGAGTGAGAGTACCTGCGCCAACGCAAGGAGACGAAGCACACCGTTGATGTGGAGCGGCCCCTTGCTCGGCTCGCATGTGAGGTTTAGGGTTTAGGGTTTCTAGGGTTTGCAGGGCTTAGGGTTTTTAGGGTTTTTGGGGTTTTTGGGTTTAGGGTATAGCGTTGTGTTCCCTTATGGTTCCGGGCAATTAATTGCTGTAATAGGGACTAAGTGACTGGCGCTGTATGTATAACAGTTCCATGTAGACAGGACAGGCACGCATGCCCGAGCCCGCCCTGGCTGCGGTGTGCCCGGCGTCGGCACTTGATCGATGAGAGAAACACTGGAGCGAAAAGAGGTCGGGGCGACACTGCCATCGAAGTAGTTCGCCTGGTTCAACTCTTTCTGCTCGCGTAAGTGACTATGCTTTTGCTGCATGCCGAGTGAGCCTAGACAGAGCTCCGTTGGAGTACTCCGTAAGATTTAGCACCGCGAACAGCCTGTGGCGACCGCATGGACCTAATGTTGGCATGCTGGGGCAAGCTATGGATTCTGCCACTGCGTGGTTCTTTATCGAGAACTAGGAGTTTGCCTGCTCCGTACCCCGCCCATGTAACCCTTTAGTGTATCACAGGAAATAAATTCCCTGCGCAGAACGTGCAAGATCTCGAACGTACAGGACATTCAATTTCTATGTATTCAGCGTATCTGAATAAAGAACAAAACATGGTGCCCAACAACTGCTGAATCATTGACAATTCGGGGTTACTAGTGAAGCGCATGGGTCAAGCCACGAATTTGCTTGGCTATTGATCAACATGCCTGTGCCTAAAGAACCCTACATGTCCCCTCTAAACCCACAGGAACCCAAATAAAAACCCTAAACCCTCAACCCAAAACCCTCCCCAAGGAGGACCTTTAGATCAACCCCATTCGGATCAAACTCTGCAGGTCCCTGTGAAACCTACAATTCGGGGATGTAACCCTAGGGTGTTGGGCTTAGGGAGACATGCAGCTTGCGCTAAACCCTAAACCCTAGACCCTAAACCCTAAACCCCACATTCGAGCTGAGCAAGGGGCCGCTCCACATCAACGGTGTGCTTCGTCTCCTTGCGTTGGGGCAGGTATCCCTCACTCCTAAACCCTAAACCCTAAACCCTAACCCTAAACCCTAAACCCTAAACCCTAAACCCTAAACACTTCGGGGTCCGGAGGCAAGCTCTGACAAGGCCTGGAAGGCCAGGAACCCCAAAAAAACTAACCCCAAAGCCGTAAATCCCGTGCCCTAAACCCTAGCCCTAAACCCTAAACCCTAAACTCCAAACCCTCTTTCCTGAAACTAGATACCCTAAATCCCGGCACCCACCAAGCCCTAAATCTCCTGCAACTGGAGCTGCAGTCTCAACTCCTCCACCTTCGCCGCCATGGGGGGCCTTCGAAATCAGGAAGTTTAGAGTTTAGGGTTCAGAGTCGAGGGTTTTAGGGTTTAGGGTTGAGGGTTTGGGGTTTAGGGCCTGGGGTTTAGGGTTGAGGGTTTAGGGCTTTAGGGTTCAGGGTTTAGGGTCTAGCTAGGGGGGGGGGGTATAATAAGCAGTTGGGGCTTGGGGGTTTTGGGGCATTGAGGGTTTTAGGGTGATAAGGGGTTAAGTTGAGGGGAAAAAATGTCGGCGTATTCTTGCGAAAAAAGAGCCCCTTTTGCTTCTTTCAAGCGAAGAGCGGAACAAATTTCTTAGAGTTCAGGGTTCAGGGCTTAAGGTTTAGCGGAAAGTACTTGGAGTTCAGGGTTCTGGACTAAAGAACTTTATGCCCAAAAAAAACATACGAAGCTACCAAAAGGCCCATCAGGAAAAGTATAAGCCCGCTCAACCACATGCAGTAAGGCAGGGACTCTGTAATAGGGACCTTGGGGGTTATTGGGGAGTTCGTTAGGGGCTAGGTAGGTATGTAGGGACTCTATAAGGTATAAATAAATAAATATGTATATATATATACATATATATATAGGGGTTATATAGGGGAATAAGATGAAGCCTCCCTTCTAGGGGTCCCTCCTTTTACCCCAACATCGCAGCCCATGGCATGAAACCCTACGAGCCATAAACTCCAAACCCTACGCACAAAAAGAACAAACCATGCTTAAACCCTACACCCCATGCCAAAAAATTAGGGTTTAGGGTTTAGGGTTTAGGGTTTAGGGTTTAGGGAAAAACTAAACCCCCAAACCCTACAACTCTAAACCCTGGAAGCTTTTCGACCCTAAACCCAAAAAGCCACCCTGAACCCTCCCTAAACCCTAAACCCCTAAACCTCACGGCCCTGCCTCCCAGGCCTCCCTAGTGGCAATGCCAACTCGGGCCCGATTGCCGCGGGAACATCCCAAGTTTTACGATTTACCAAAATAAGGGGCCCTAATATAAACCCCAAATAGAGGCACGCCGAATTTCTGTAACCCCATTTCAGGTTTAGGGTTCAGGGGTCCAGGCTTTAGTGTTTACAGGATCCAGGGCTGGGGTAGCGATGTTTAGGAGTGCATACAATGGGTACTCTATTTTGGACAAAGACCCATGCACCGGTAGCTTCTCTCAAGCCAAAACCCTAAACCCTAAACGGTTTAGTCCAGACCCCGACCCCTAGCCCTGAAGCAAGACCCTACAGTAAATACCCGAAACGCTGATTCGTTAGTTCATGATCTGAAACCCAATAAGGGAGATCGAACTACCTAGATGACAGATCGTTGGAGGGGGGGGGGGGGTGATGGGGCGAACTCGCCCCGCTCGCCAGCTTCTTTCCGTGCTCTCTCCGTCGAGGACATCTGGCAGGCACATCCCTTGGGGAGGCGCTGCCGGATGTGACACCCCTAGTTGCCAACCCAAGCCACATAGAACTAGATTGTTGGCTCTGGACGTCCACCTAATTGGGTACTTCTCTAAATTCGGGTCCGTTTTTGGGGGTCCCCTTTTTAAAGGGTGCCGCCTTACAATGGGCACCCAGAAAGGGCCCATAATTTAGGAAACTACCCATATGTACATGCACGTGCCATCTGGGACCAATCTGGCGCAAGAGAGCACTGGACGAGACCACTTCGGAAAAGCCAAACCCAAAACCCAACATGCTGGCTTTTGCTAGACCCAGGAGTAACCTAGGATTACAACGGAACCTAGGATTACAACGGGCGCCCTTTCTGGTTTTAAGGGGATTATCAGGGAACCCCAACCCTGAAAAAAGGGAATAAGGGCCTAGTTTAGAAACTTAAAGCTTCCCATGGCCAAGCGTGCGTACAGCCACTCTTCTGAGGGATGCTTGCGCTGCCAGGTATAGTTTAGGGTGTAGAGTATTTGCCTCTGGGTAAGGCCAGAACCTGAGGAGAATATTCGTCATGGGAATGCTCGGAACCTCCCCCTTCTCAAAGAATTTAATGTTGTATCCTGATTCGTGCCGACCCCCGGAATTGGGATTTGGGGTTCGGGCTTAGGGTTTAAATAGGATTCTCTGGATTCAGGGCTTGCGGCCTCCACAAATGTCTCTTCCCGAATCCCAAGTAAGTTCTAGAAGCTCTGAACTCTAAACCCTAAACCTCCCTCCAAGTTCTAGGCGCCAAACCCTCAACCCTAAACCCTAAACCCTAAACCCTAAACCCTAAACCTATTCTGGCTCACGTGGCCACTGGCCTGCAAGGTGAAACGAGGGCCGAAGCTCGGGCGCTCGGAGCTTTGGGAGCTCAACACGGTTTAGGGTTTAGGGTTTAGGGTTTAGGGTTTAGGGTTTAGGGTTTAGGGTTTAGGTTTAGGGTTTAGGGTAACTTGACACCATCTAACCATGCAAAACGTAGACGCTCCAGTGCCCACTCTCAGCAACATGCTTTGATTTTTTAGGGTTTAGGGTTTAGGGTTTAGGGTTTAGGGTTTCGGGATGCAGCCCGACTTGACCCCCCCCAAGTCCTACCACCTACAGCCCGCTTGCGCCGGAGGCATCCCCTTCCTCCGCCGAGGGCGCGTGCGTCACTTGCCCTGCAGCTTGGCAAAGAACCCTCAAGCTGGGGGGAGTGGGAACCATGGTTTAGGGCGTTGGGGTTTAGGGTTTAGGGTTTAGGGTTTAGGGTTTAGGGTTTAGGGTTTAGGGTTTAGGGTTTAGGGTTTAGGGTTTAGGGCATATTTATGCACCCATTCTCGAACACGAGCTCCGAAACTTTACTGCATAAGCTTTGAAATCAAAATGTAAGCCCCCCAACCACCCCAAGCCTCGAGCACTAAGAAGCTGGGCGTCACGATGAACGCAAATGGAGTTTCGAGAATCAGTAATCAGACATACTGTCCTCAAAGCCTAAGCCCTTTGCACCCTAAACTGTCCACCCCAACCTCTGAACCCGCACCTTGAGTCCCTTCACAGCAACCCTGCGTAGAGGTTGCGGGTGTAGAGTCTAGAGGAACCTCCAGAACTTTTGATTTAGGATACAACCCTAAACCCTGAACCCTAAACCCTGAACCCTAAACCCTAAACCCTAAACCCTAAACCCTAAGGAGTCTTGCTACATTGCGGAGTGTAGGAGGCTCTGGGCAGGATGGTTTAGGCTTGGAGGGTCGCCTTGCTTTGAGGTCGCTTAGGGGTTCTAAGGGTTCAGGGCCGATTCAGACTGCGACCCTAAACCCTAAACCCTAAACCCTAAACCCTAAACCCTAAACCCTAAGCTCACCCCCGCCCCTGCTCGCCGCAGCTGAGGTCCAGGCGAAGTGTGGCCAGCGCCCTCTTGGCCTGCTTTTGTTTCTTCATCTGTTGGAGGGTTTAGGGTTTAGGGTTTAGGGTTTAGGGTTTAGGGTTTAGGGTTTAGGGTTTAGGGTTTAGGGTTGTATTAGGGTTTCAGGGTTTTGGGGTTGAAGGTTTGATGTTGTTCTTGTTGGAGGAAGTGGGTTCAGGGTTTAGGGCTGGGGGGGGGGGAGTGGGGGAGAGGTGCCGGAGCTTGGTGGGGGGTCTGGGAAGGACTTTGGGGCTTGTCTGCAAACCTTGGTAGTATCCAGATTGGACAACTCATGGAATGAATATGTGCTTGTGGTACTTGTGCACAAAATGAGTCCAAAAAAGAGACCCGAAACCACACACACACACAGAAGTTCAAGAGCCCTACACCCTAAACCCTAAACCCTAAACCCCTAAACCCTAAACCCCTAAACCTAAACCCTAAACCCTAAACCCTGGGAGTTGGTCAGCTCACTTCCAGCGTTCAAGCATCAACTCCAAAACCCTCAACTCCAAACCCCTAAAGTTAAGAGCCGAAGGCTTTGTAAGGGCATGATCTTTTTTGTGGAGAGTTTGGCTCATTTATTGTCCCCCCCCCCCCCAGGCCCAACCCGGAAGTACAACAAAGGGCACCTCGGCAGGCGCGTCGAGCTCCGCTCTCAGTAATGCCTCCGGGTTTGGGGTTTTAGGTCTTCCGGCGCCCACTGCAAGACTTCTTGTCCCTTCGGCCAAATGGCTTTACACTTTGGGTTTGGCTTATGTTTACCCTAAACGCCAAACCCTAAGCGCCAAACCCTAAACCCTAAACCCAGGCAGCGAGGGGGAAGGGGGACCCTAAACCCTGAATTCTAAACCCTGGCAGCCTTTGTCTAAGGAGTGGTTTTATCGGATGGGGATCCTGAGAGACTCAGAGGGGCTCCCCCAAGTAAGGGCCCATACCAAGCGGCTCTGAAGTATGGGAGACTGGGTTCTTCGGTTTAGGGTTTATAGGGTTTTGGTTTTATAGGGTTTATAGGGTTTATAGGGTTTATAGGGTTGATAGAGTTTATAGGGTTTATAGGGTCTACAGGGTTTCTAGGGATTATAGGGTTTACGGGGTTTATTTTGGGGTTTACAGGGTTTATAGGGTGTACATGGTTTAGGGTGTTTTTAGGGTCGACGGGCTTCGGGGGGTCTAGGGGTAGTTTAGCAGCTTTCGAAAGCTCCAGGCTTCGGGTTTTTTTAATTCAAGGATTTGTTAGGCAGTTTATGGCAGTGTTCTAGAAGGCAGTTTAGGGCTCAGGAAGTTTAAGGCCGTTTTGGGGCCCAGGAACTAAACCCTAAACCCTGAACCCTAAACCCTAAACCCTCAACGCGGCCTCCCGCTTTGTCTCCAAGCTGAGCTGCTTGGACAGGCTGTCCTCAGTTCAAGGCGCGCCGAGTTGGGGGCGGTGAGCAGTTCAAGCCCGGACTGCTTAGGGTTTAGGGTTTAGGGTTTAGGGTCTAGGGTTTAGGGTTCAGGGTTTAGGGTTTAGGGTTTAGGGGGCTAGGATCTCGGCTTTAACACTGAAACCGAAGCACGTAAAGCACTGACGCCTCCGCCCTAATGGCATCGTAAGAAGAATAAGAGTAGCAATGCGAAGAAAAAGCACGTGCAAACACGTAAAACCCTGAAGCCCGAACATGAAGCCAGTTTGAGGTTCAGGGTTTAGTGTTTAGGGTTTGAGGGTTTTGGGTTCTTACGCCTTAAGAGCTTCAGGCTTTTGAGGTTGAAGATATTCGGGATTAAGGGCTTCAGGGTTTTGGGGGTCCAGGGTTTAGCGTTAGTAGTGGTTGGCTTCAGGGTTTCAGGGTTCTGGGCTCTAGAGTTTTGGGGCTTGTGGTCTTTCTCGTTGAGCATCGGGAGAAACTTCTCCGCATAGCAACGTGCCTCCCACAACCTAAACACATGGGTTTAGGGTGTAGGGCCTTTCTGGACAAGCCCAGAAACATGGAAACTTCACAACGTCTGCTCTACATAGGGTTCCTTCTAAATATTGGTGAGGCTTTTTATGGGGGAGGGTGTCCTTTCTGGGGACTAGTAATCGACTGTAAGAACCTCCAAAATCAAAGCTAATAATCCAAATATTACCCTTACAGGGAAGATCTTTCTTTTTTCTGTTGGGGGGGGGGGGTTCTTAAGCAAACAATAGGAATGAAAAAACAGATCTCCGAACCAGTGTGAATTAACTGTCAAGGGTCGTGTTGGGAGAGCCGAGCTGATTCAGGGCTTCGGATTTAGGGATATGCAGGGTTGGTGAGTTTTTTTTAAAGTTCTAGTGCTTACAGGCGTTATCCGGGGTTGTAGGGGTTAAAGGAAACCAACGCCCGAACCCCCCCTAAACCCTAACCCTAAACCCTAAACCCTAAACATTAAACTCTATACCCTAAACCCTAAACCCTAAACCCTAAACCCCGAACCAATCCCCCGGTCGCCTGGCTTGCGCGCTCCGCGTCCAGGGCATCTGCGGCCTGCAGCACTGCCGGCCACTCAGCTTGCCTTGGTTATAGGGTTATAGGGTTATAGGGTTATAGGGTTATAGGGTTATAGGGTTATAGGGTTATAGGGTTATAGGGTTCTAGGGTTATAGGGTTATAGGGTTATAGGGTTTAGGGTTAGGGTTTAGGGTTGAGGGTTCAGGGTTTAGAGTTTAAGGTTTGCTTGCCTTGGTTGTAGGGTTCTTAGGGGGGGTCATGGGGGGTAGGTACCTAGGGAACCTTAGGGAAGCTTAGGGAGCCTTAGGGCGTAGTAGCCTTAAGAGCCCTGTAACTTGGGTCGCGGGGTTCCAGGTCCGAGCGCCAAGACTGAACTAAACCCTCCAAACCCTTGAAGGCCGTAGAAGCCCTGAAAGAGCTTAAAGCCCTACGCTTGAATCCCAAAGACCCAAACAACTAGGGAACCCTTGGGTTTGCTAGGGCTTTGTGGGCTGCAGGTGGTCATCGTGGGGTTTAAAGGGTGTCTTAGACCCTCAACACCTCAAGCACCAAACAGTTGGCAGCTTTTTAGTTGCTGAGTTCATAAGAACCAAACAAGTGTACACTGTCAGTTCTATGGGGGCTTATAGGATCCCAAAAAGTGTAAAGTGTGCTCACTCAGCTACTAAGGCTTAGTAAAACGCCCTGCCCCCTCGGCGGTTTAGCGCTCGGCACCCTCAGCACCCAAACCCTACGCCTTTAGGGTTTTCGGTTTAGAGGCTCCTCGCGTCTAGATTCTTGGGGAATGCCACAGAAAACATGGCCTTCACAACGCGCCAGCTGCGCTGCCGAACTCCCGAAACCCTAAACCTACCCCAACCCCCCCCCCCCGCAGCTTCAGCGGGAAGTGCTGATCGTGCTCGCGAAGCAGGGACAGGTACCGCACCAGCTCTGGCTTCAGCATGCTCTTCACATCTCCGGACATGAGGTGATCCACGGCCTCAATCTGCACGAGTCGTTGCTGCAGCGCGCTTTGCTCCTTGGCGTTCTTGCCTGCAGCGTTTCCAGCACGGCTTTCGCCTGGACACAAAGCAGAGGGAAACGATTCCCCACCAAACCCCCCAAACGCCGAACCCCGAGCTTGAGGGTCGGACAAGGGTAACTATGGGGTTTAGGGTTTTCAAGGTTTAGAAATGGGCAGTGGACAGTTGCAAGGTGCGGCGCTCCCATAGGGGCAGCCAGGCAGGAAGCCACCACGGGAAGCTGTAGTGACTGTAGTGACCACGGTGTTGTCGAGGCAGGTATCGCTGAGCCAACTCCGATTCTGCCATCCAGCAAGGCCCGGGGGCCTTTCCAGGGCCAGGTCGATCTGGCTCGTCAACCCCACGCAGGTCCGGGGGTCCTACGAGGTAGGGCAGCAGACACCTTGTATGGGGCTTCCCGAAAATAGAGGTACCTTGTTGGGGTCCTGAAAAGAATGGAACCCTACTATTTGGGGGTATATATTAGGCCCTTTCTCCTCGCAAACTCCCGTGTTGTGAAAGGGGTCCCAGAGGTTTCACCATGAACCTAAGTGTGCCCGCAACCCCCCAGGGTTGAGGGTTTGGGGTTTCAAGGCTACAACACTGAATATATTGAACCCTACTTAACCCAGCAACCCCCTGGCTCAAAGCGTAGTAGGCGCACCGTCCGTAATCAAGAGCCCTCATAAGCCATGACCCTAAACCCTAAACTCTGACACCCTGACACCCTGACACCCTGACACCCTGACACCCGGACACCCTGACACCCTGACACCCTGACAGCCTGACACCCTGACACCCTAAACCCTAACCGTAAACCCTAAACCCTAAGGGAACGCTAGGCTCCGGGCGGCCAGCGCTGAGGCAACCCGGCCTCCACTGCCTGCCACTGGACCACATAGCTCCTTCGCAGGATATTGAGAACTTCAAGCGGGTGTAGGGTTTAGGGTTTAGGGTTTCGGGTTGAGGGAACAGACTCCCTTCGATGAGATGTTGCAGGGCTAAAAACTGGGGAGGCCGGTCAAATCTCATTGGCTTGACATGGGGTTTAGGGTTTAGGGTTTTAGGGCGGCTTTTCCTATGACTACTTGAGCAATTTACAAGGGTTTGCCGGACTCCGGTGTAGGCTTCCGGGTGTAGAATTTGGAGCCTACGGTCTCGGCTTCCACGAAAAAAATAGGCGGCTCACGAGGCAGCTCCTTCAACCGCAGATTTTCATAAACGACAGCGCCAAAAAACGTCAGGGCCTTGCTAGACCACAAGCCCGAAAGCCCAAGGCCCTGTCACAGAAACGAAAGCTTGTATGCTTAGGGATTTAGGGTTTTAGGCCACCCTAACCTCCAAACCCGAAACCCCTAAACCCTAAACCCCTAAACCCCTAAACCCTCAACCCCTAAACCCCTCAACCCCTTAAACCCCTAGACCCCTAAACCCCTCAACCCCTAAAACTCCTAAACCCCTAGACCCCTAAACCCCTCAACCCCTAAAACCCCTAAACCCTTCAACCCTAAACCCCTCAACCCTAAACCCCCAAAACCCTAAGCTATACACCCTAAACCCGCAAACCCACGCCATGTCAGACGCCTGGCAGCGTCAGCCACAGCGCTTGGCCCAGAGGCGGCGGCCGCCTCGGCTGTGGGCTTCTGGCGCTCAACGACCTGGGGGGACGACCTTGGGGACCAAATGAACACTAGAAGGGTTTAGGGTTTAGGGTCTAGGGCTACCCTAAGCCCGAAGCCCTAAGCCCTAAACCCTAGGTTGATGGTTCATATACCTGTACACCTATTGGTTTGGGTATACGACCCCCAATTTTGGGGGGGTCCATTTGGTTTTTGCAGGGGACAAACCCCATTGATCCCTAAACCCTAAACCCTAAACCCTAAACCCCAAACCCCAAACCCCAAACCCCAAACCCCAAGCCTAAGCCCTAACCTTCAGATCTGCCGCCTGCTTGGCCGCAGCGCACAGGTCGCGGCAGGCCTGTGTGAGGTCCTGCCAGGGTTCATCCCCTGAAACGGCTTAGAGCCGGGTTCAGGGCTTTCGGGTTTAAGGGTAGTTTCAAGGTTTAGGGCGAAAGGGTCGAACCCCCAAAAAATCCTACATATTCTACAGGTGATCCTCTCTTAAACCCAATACGGGAAAACGTGAAATTACCCAAGGGCCGACGTAGTACCTAGTTGAGTCCATGTGTAAGGGTACTTACATGGGCCCTTAGTATGGTCCCTTGCCTCCTTTAAAGGGTTCTGATGTATGGGCCCTTGATTTGTATAATTGGGGTATATAAGGGGTCCCCTTTTATGGGCCCATGCTAAGGGACCATGAAACTACCCTAAGACCATGTGTCTGAACACAACCCTAAACCCTAAACCCGAAACCCTAAACCCTAAATGGCTCCCCGCAGGCGAAAAGCCCGTGCGTGAACCCTCCGGAGCCCGACGTGCCCATCCCAAAGGGTCCATGCACCTATATAGTTTACACTTGGGCCTTAAAGGGTTGAGGGTTTGGGGTTTAGGGGTTAGGGCTTTAGGGCCCAAGTATATGCTATATGGGTACATGTAGCCTCAGGGAATGTAGGAGCTCTGGTCTCGGGATTCGGAAAGTCGTAACTTTAACAACAGATTTAGGGTTTACTTGGGACCCTCTTTGCGTACAGTTGTTTGGGTTATGCCTACGAATTTGGGGAGTTGCTACTGAAATGTAGGTAAATAGAGTCACAGGTAGGGTTTAGAGTGTAGACTCAGGTCCTGTATGAGGCACGCTCAACAAACCCTTAGCTTCTGAAGGCCTAAATCCCAACAAGCAGGACGAAGAAACACCCCAAAAACCCCGAAAGAGAGCCTAAATCCCTAAATCCCTAAATCCCTAAATCCCTAAATCCCTAAATCCCTAAATCCCTAAATCCCTAAATCCCTAAATCCCTAAATCCCTAAATCCCTAAATCCCTCAATCCTCCTACCTCCCATCCCAAGGTTGAACAGGGACGCCGTCCTTCTCCTGCACGTTGCAGGCCGCCTGCTCCAGCTCGAGCTCGTGCTTCCGAGTGCCGATGTCGCAGCCTCGGCTCTATCGGGTTTGGGGCGTAGGGGGGTTTAGGGTTTAGGGTTTAGGGTTTATAGGGCTTAATTAGGGCTTGGGGCCCTGCACCCTCGTGCTTAAACCCTGAAACCCTAAACAGTACACCCTAAAACCCTAAAACTTAAACCGCAAACCCAAACCTTCAACCCTACAGTAAACTTGCGTCCGTCCTCAGTCCTTGTCATCCGAGTATGGAGGAGAAGGACCTCGATGCAGTTCGGTGCCACCCTACACCCTAAACCCTTAACCCCACACCCTAAACCCGAAACCCTAAAACCTAAACCCTTAACCCTAAACCCTAAACCCTACACCCTAAACCCTAAACCCGAAACCCTAAACCCTGAACCCGAAACCCCATGGACCTTGGACTGTGCCTGCGATTTGGGCTTCAGGGCACTGGCAAGCCGTCTTTCGGCTCGCAGCTACCTTGGCTTCTGTCAGTTCGCGAGAAGTGAGGTCTCTTGCTCTCTCCACCGCCGCCTTGCTGTGGTTGGAGTGGCTTAGGGTTTAAGGTTTAGGGTTTAGGGTTTAGGGTCTAGGGTTATAGGGTTTAGGGTTTTAAGGGGTTAGGGTTTAGGGTTTAGGGGTTAGGGTTTAGGGTTTAGAGTTCAGGGTTTAGGGTTTAGAATGCAGGGTGGCACCTGTCTCTCCATAGCCGGTGGAAAGGAGAGGGTCCAGGCTTTGAGGGGGGGAATCGGGATTTGGGGCTTGGGGCACGCAGGGCTCGGCAGAGCAGCCGAGGGCACTCACAGTAGGGCTTACCCACACATAAGGGTCGCTGCTACTAAGCTGTAGGGAAATAGAGTCCCAGGTAAATCCTTAACATTCAACCTTAATTAAACGCTATAGAACCTTCAACCCTAAAACCAAAAACCCCAAAACATTGAACCCTAAACCCTAAACCCCAAACCCTAAACCCTAAACCCTGAAACCCTAAACCCCAGGAGACCCCAGGACCGGTTACGCAAACAACGTGCCGGTGCCAGAGTTCAGGCTTCAGGCTTCAGGCTTCAGGGTTCAGGGTTTAGGGTTTAGGGTTTAGGGTTTAGGGTTCAGGCTTCAGGGTTCTCTTTGGAACCCCGAACGACAATGTGACGATTGAATTCTCCACTGGGTTTAGGGTTTAGGGTTTAGGGTTTAGGGCTAGGGTTTAGGGTTTAGGGTTTAGGGTTTAGGGTTTAGGGTTTAGGGTTTAGGGTTTAGGGTTTAGGGTTTAGGGTTTAGGGTTAAGGGTTTAGGGTTTGCGGCTAGGGGTTAGGGTTTAGGGTTTAGGGGTTTAGGGAAGATTGCTCTGAGGCCGGGGCCGGCCTCGGTGAGCCGCCACACAGCCTCCGCCTGCTCGCAGCACTCCTGCCCAAAGGCCAGCGAGGAGTGTGGGTTTCGGGTTTAGGGTTTGGGGTTTAGGGTTGAGGAGGGGGAGCGGTACCCTAAACCCTAGGGCTTCTTAGGGCTTTCGGGGGGCTCTGGGGGGTGTAGGGCTTTCGGGCTTCTAGGGTTCAGGGTTTGAGGGTTTAGGGTTTTAGGGTTGCAAGGGTTTGAAGGGTTGCAAGCATTCAGGGTTTGGGGTATATGGGCTCAACAGGGGCTTACTTCGGGTCTTGCTATGGTATGCAATTCGTCTTTTTCTCAAGTGAAGATATGAACATATGATCAATGATTAATAAAATACACCATCCGTTTGGGCAACTGAGCTGTCTGCAAAACCCTAAACCCCACCCTTGCCCGCAATCCTTCCAACCACAATCTCAAAAAACGGAAAGGCCCTAAACCCAAAATATCCTAACCCTAGAACCCTAAAACCCTAAACCCAAAACCCTAAAACCCTACAGGCCAAGGCCTGAAACCCTAAACCCGACACCCCCTCAAATCCGTAAACCCCAAACCACAGCTCTGTCCCAGTCTCTATCTTGGTCCCAACCCTGAAGACCTAGAACCGAGGCTGACTTTCGCCGGAAAGCACCAGTTCCCAACACAGGCAATTACAGGGTTTAGGGTTCAGGGTTTAGGGCTGTAATTAGCGTTCACCTGTAAAGCTTTTCCCCGTACCAGAACACCATAGACGTATCCCGGTATACAAAAAGCTATCAGCAGTATAATCACCACTACACTCGTCGTCTTAACGAGTCTCTTCATACACGTTGAACAGCATAACTGGTTCTTATAAGAAAGAAACAATGATTCGCACGTATCATTGCAAGATGAAATCATTAACGTGTTTGGAGACACATTGCGGATTTCTTGTAGCATCGAAGTAATCTATATATATATATATATTCATAATAATAATGATGATGATAATAATGATAATAACGATAATGATGATAATAATGATAATAATGATAATAATGATAATAATGATAATAATGACAATAATGATAATAATGGTAATAATGACAATAATGATAATAATGATAATAATGATAATAATGATAATAATGATAATAATGATAATAATGATAGTAATGATGATAATGATAAGAATGATAAGAATGATAAGAATGAGAATCATGATAATCATGATAATCATGAGAATCATGAGAATCATGATAATCATGATAATCATGATAATCATGATAATCTTGATAATCTTGATAATCTTGATAATCTTGATAATCGTTATAATCATGATAATCATGATAATCATGATAATCATGAGAATCATGAGAATCATGAGAATCATGATAATCATGATAATCTTGATAATCTTGATAATCTTGATAATCTTGATAATCTTGATAATCGTTATAATCATGATAGTCATGATAGTCATGATAGCCATGATAGCCATGATAATCATGATAATCATGATAATCATGATAATCTTGATAATCTTGATAATCTTGATAATCTTGATAATCTTGATAACCATGATAATCATGATAATCATGATAATCGTAATAATAATGATAATCATGATAATCATGATAATCATGATAATAATGGTAATCATGATAATAATGATAATAATGATAATAATGATAAGAATGATAAGAATGATAAGAATGATAAGAATGATAAGAATGATAATAATGATGATAATGATAAAAATCATAAGATCATACTCGTGGTATAGAAAGCGTCTTCCTGGGTATAGGGTCAGTCTCGGTGTTCTTAGTCGGAAGATTCTGATACCCGTGAGGCTGTTGTTAATATCGGGCAAGACGCAGCACCCGTGGGTATGCCAGATGCCTTCTGCAGTACAGTGTCTGTCAAGGGTTTGTCTTCCTTACAAGCTACCATGGTAAGCTTGAGTTAATCGTCTTCTTGAGAAGGTTCAACCGTCTTGTCTGGCTCTGCTTGAAATAATCTCCTTGCCAGTGACTATTACTTCAACAGACGCCGTCAGTAACAGCCTTCCTGGACGTGACAATCGGTCTTAGAAAATATTGACGTCAACAACGTATTATTTTAGAGGTCCGGTTCACACGTCATGGATTGTCTCTGAACTTCACCGAGCAGTACAAGTTGAAATCGCTGCAGCTCCTGTGATGCGCCGCGCAGCACCGGGCGCATTCGTGCTCTTGCGCTCCAAGAGTTGACCACAAAGTTTCCAAGCTCAGAAGACACTGAACTGCCGTGATCGGAACATCGCACTCTGTACCGTCAGCAGCAGCAGCAGCCACAGGGATATCCCTACCCAGGTGCCCACGGAGAGCCTCGTCGTGCACATTGCAGCGGTAATTGCTCCGGCTCCTGTTGCCATGTCTCAGGAGATCCGCCAGCTGGAGCTTCCCACTGCTGCCCTTCGTGAAGTTTATAAAAGGAGCTGCAGGCAGTTCCTGCATGTCGGGCAACATCCTAACCCTAAACCCTGAATCCTACATCCAACGACAGTAAGAGGATCAGAGGAGGCCTTCTAACCCTAAACCCTAAACCCTAAACCCCACAAGCGGAGAGACCTGCCTCATGGCTTCGAAGTGCGCTGGCAAGCTGGCGTCGTAGAGCCTTGGCAGCACAAGGGCTCACTCAGGGTTCAGGGTTCAGGGTTCAAGGTTCAGGGTTTAGGGTTTAGGGTTTAGGGCTGAGGGTTTAGGGTTTTTGGGGCATCTAGGGTGTAAAGACAAAGTGGGTTTGGGGTTTAGGGTTAGGGTGTACAAAGTTTGTGGGTTTGGGGTTTAGGGCTTAGGGTGTCAAGGAGTTTGTCGATGGGTTTGATGTGGGAAGTGATGTACTTTGGGTTTTAGGGTTTAGGGTTTAGGGTTTAGGGTTTAGGGTTTAGGTTTAGGGTTTAGGGTTTAGGGTCCCCTGGATGCGACGGCGCGTCATTACATGATTTCTTCTTCAGAAGGTACCCTATCTTGCACAATGCCTCTGCAAGTCTCTCAGGTTTATACAAGGCAGCTATGCATAAGGGTAACAGGAGCCCTGTCCCCCCAGGAAGAAAAAAGGATCCTTTTTGGTTTATATATAAGAAAGCCCATAACCCAAAAAGTAAAAAGGATCCCTAACACTGATCTAGAGGAGGGAAACCCTCAGACAGAGAAGTTGCACAAGTAAACCTTGAACTGCAGTGCGCCCGGCTGTCCAGGAGGGGCGCCATGTAAACCCCAAACCCTGAAACCATAAGTCACATAAACCTTAAACCGGCAAAAAAAGTACCCCTATCAACCCCATAAACTCTCTTAAACCCTAGAACTCACATAGCACCCAGAACCTCCATAAACCCTAGACACCATGAACCCTATAAGCCCCATAACCCCATTTCCCCTGCGATTATGAACCCCAGAACCCCTCTACACCCTATAAACCCTACAAACCCTTCTAAACCCCAAAAGCCCCTCTACACCCTGAAAACAGCCCTAAACCCCAAACCCCAAACCCTAAACCCTGAACCCTGAACCCTAAACCCTAAAGCCTAAAGCCTAAACCTTAAACCCTAAACCCTCAACCCTAAACCCTAAACCCTAAACCCCAAACCCTAAACCCCTAAAGCCCTAAAAGCTAAGCCGAGGGGCTTCGTCTGGCGACCGATCCACCTCCGCGGAGAGCTCCCGCGGCGCCTGCGCGCGGGGGGGGGGGGGGGGGGGTTTTAGGGGTTTAGGGTTTAGGGTTTTAGGGTTTTAGGGTTTTAGGGTTTAGGGTTTAGGGTTTAGGGTTTAAGGTTTAGGGTTTAAGGTTTAGGTTTAGGGTTTAGGGTTTAGGGTTTGGGGTTTGGGGTTTGGGGTTTGGGGTTTGGGGTTTGGGGTTTGGGGATTGGGGTTTAGGGTTTGCGGGAGTTAAGGAGCCCCGGTTTCGTAGTCGGGCTTCTCATTAATGTTGGACCTGCTTTATTAGGGGGGGTCGCTTTAAAGTCAATTTGGCGGAATTATTCAGGACCCCCTCACTGTTTGAGGGGTCCGCTTTAAAGTCAAACCGTACCCGAAATCCGGCAATTTTTTTTAAGGATTTGGGGCTTGCTTTAAACTAAGTTAAAACATTCAATCCTCAATACCAGACCTCCACATCCAAAACCCTCAGCCCTGCAGAAGCTCAGTATTCTTCTCAACCTGGGTCTCTCAAGCTTTTCAAAAAGAGGGCCCGTGCTGCCTCAGGCTGCAAGTTGATGACTGAGTTATCCCTAAACCCGAACTCTTGGACTTCTGGATGTCCTAAGTTGCCTGAGGCAGCAGTCGTGGCCGGCCCCAGAGGGGGGATGTCCCTGAGCCTGGATTTGCTCAGGTTTCTTTGGCGCGGCAAGCTTCACTACCCTTCTGAGCCTCAATCGGCTGACTCTCAGGCCAGTCCTCAAAGCGGTTCTGAAGCCTCAGGCCCCCTACGAGGGTCTCAAAGGCCTGAAAATAGCTCATGTGGATTCTGAGCTGCAAGTCCGCGCTCTGTTTCAAGCCCACCCTCAAGGCTTCCTTCTGGTCCTCCGAGGGTGGCTGAACCATCAGCCTCAGGATCTGCTGAATGAGGCTGACTTCGGTTCTGAGGAGGTCTGCCATTGAGTTCAGCCTCTGATACTGAGGGCAGAAAGAAAGGAACTGAGCCACCTGAGCATCCCTCCAGATGGAGCCCTCAGGCAACTCCTCCGTCAAAACCTTAATGGCCTTCTCAAGCTTCTTGGAGTAGTTCAGAAGTCTAATGTGGGCCTCATTCTGCCTCTCCTGCAGCTCAGACTCCCTCAGAAAGTCTTGCCTCCGAGTGCTCATGGCTCAGGCTGCTACTTGATCTGGGCTCTAAGTCGGCTGGGGCTACAGGGCCACATGTTCTGAGACTTGCCAACCTCAACTCGCACTGAACGACCCCCCCCCCCCCTTCTGAGTGCAGCCAAAGGGTCATGGCTGAGACGAACTCAGGCAGGAGCTCAGGCGGGAATGCGAGGGGCTGCTGGAAGCACAGAAAAGCTCTGAGGATGGCAGGCGAAGGAAGGGATGCGCTTAGTAAAGGCATCTAAGGGCAGGGCTCTCTACTACTGCTACTACGACGACTACTACTACTACTACTACTACTACTACTACTACTACTACTACTACTACTACTACTACTACTACTACTACTACTACTACTACTAAATAATTAATTACGAGTCATATATAAGCTCATCCCTTTCAGATTCATATGGATCCCTTTTAAATCTATCTAAACTCCTCCCTATTAAAATCATATAAACCACCGGAGCCCTTTATTCAGGACCCAATCCACGCCCCGACTGTTCAGGGGGGGGGGGGGGGGGGCCCCCACATTAAAGCAGGTCCCACATTACAGGGTTTAGGGGTTTAGGGTTTTAGGGTTGTAGGGTCCGAGGGCTTAGGATTTAGGGGCCCTGCTAAATTCTTTGCGCGTACCGTTTAGATGCCCCAAACCCTAAACCCTAGAGACCGGGGCTTGTTTCCGGCACAGCAATGCCGCATTGTTGCTGGCACTCAATGAGGGTCCATGTGTATGCATATGTATGTATGTATGTATGTATGTATGTATGTATGTATGTATGTATACATATACATACATATATGTATATATTATACTACGAATAAGAAGAGTAAGAAGAGCAAGAAGAACAAGATTAATAATACAAAACAGGAACAAGACTAACAATAATCAGGGCCTTACAGGGGTTCCTGGCTCAAGACAGCCTGTCGGCACTCAACCCCACACCAAACCCTTAACCCCAAGGAAGCCTCCTAAACGCCCCGCCCCCCCCCCCCCCCCCCCCCCCCCCTCGCCCTCCCCATCCCGCCCACAACCCCCCCGCCTGGACGAAGAGCTGAACGCTCTGCGCGAACCCGTCCCTGAGGCGCTGACCCCGCGCTACGAGATCCTGCAGCTCAGGGTTTTAGGGTTTAGGGTTTAGGGTTTAGGGTTTAGGGTTTAGGGTTTTAGGGTTTAGGGTTTAGGGTTTAGGGTTTAGGGTTTAGGGGGTAGGACGAAGTAAAGTAGAGCATAGAAGAACGCGGTTTAGGGCCCGAAGACAGTCCCCTAGCCTGCGCCCGCCCTCCCAGAAACAACCCTCCACCCCACAAACTGGATCTCTGGGTCCCCAAGTCGCTAGGATTCTGGAAGTTGCAGCAACAGCTCAACTTCATGGGTTCCCGGTTTAGGGTTTAGGGTTCCCCTACTACCCCCCTCTCAACTACTCCCCCCCCGCCCTAGGTTCCCCCCGTAAAGAAGGCTATCTCGGGACAGTGAAGCCGCGGTGAACCTAGGGGTGGGTTAGGGTAGTAGGGAAACCCGTGAAAGCTCCTGGACTGCACTTTTCTTCGTAGCCCAGCAATGCAACCATGTTATATTCTTACAATCACAGGGTACCCTTTGTTTTGGTCGTTTATGATTTTCATCAGGTAGCCCAGAACCGGAAAATAGTCAAGGGTACCACTGGGCTACCAGTGGTTAAGAAAACTCCTGAGAGCCAAGTATCCTACTAACTTACAATGGGAGTTTTGGGGTGGCACCGTTCGGGCTAGGTGGGAGGCGGGGCATCTCGGGGCTCGACCCTAAACCTAAAACCTCTTGTAAACTCGAACTGCCCAGGCTTGGTAGCCCAGTAACCATATGAATAAGAGCACACCTTTTTTGGGTTGGCTACTTCACAAGGGAACCTTGAACCAAAAAGAAAAAAAGGGTAACGCGGGGCTACCAAGCGGGGCTAAGCCCCAAGACGCCTTCCTCAGTCCCTGCACTCGGTCGCCGCACTCCGCAAGAGCCTGGCGTCTGTTTCAGATGAATATCCCAGAGAGCCCCATACCCCTTCATTCAAGAATGTACCTTAAATCATAAGTAGAGGGATCCTAATATGATTTAAGGTATATTCCTTAATTAGCCGAAGGTCTGGGAGCCGAACTGGCTCTTAGTAGGAAATGAGGGAATTCGGTACCCTATCTCGTCCCTTGAAGGGGTATGTATGGACCTCATTCCCTACTCAGAACGAGTTAGTTTAGTAGGAGTTTAGGGTTTAGGGTTTAGGGTTTAGGGTTTAGGGTTTAGGGTTTAGGGTTTAGGGTTTAGGGTTTAGGGTTTAGGGAGGCGCAGGGAGGCCAGGCTGCCAGCTGCGCAGGCCTTCTGGAGATCAGCAGAGCTTTGTGCTGACAAGGCCTTGGCTATCTTAGGGCCGAGCTTAGGGGTTGAGGGTTTAGGGTTTGGGGCTCATGGTTTCGGGTTTAGGGTTTAGGGTTTAGGGCTTGGGGTTTAGGGGCTTGGGGTTTAGGGCTTGGGGCTTAACATCAGGGAGGTTTTAAATGCTAAGGGCCTGCTTGGCTGGTTTCTTGAGCAGCAAAGCATCATGAGGCACCAGGGGGTGAACGCCGCATTCTGATAGGAACCACGAAATTAACCAGAAGCTAGAGGAAGTCCGCAATGATGGTGGGGGGTGGGGGGGGGGGGGGAGGGGGGAGAGGGTAGCCTTTATCGCAGGGGACGTATGAGAACAAGGACGCTAGAAAGGCAACAACGGGCCATGTAACCCCAGACAACCCCCCGCTAACCCCTGCATAACTATCTGCCATCTGAGTAGGCCGGTGGTGAACAGTCTATACTCAGAAGACGAGGAACTCATGGGGTTCAGGGTTCAGGGTTCAGCGACGCATCATCAGCTTCGAACGCCCGCCTCCAGAAAGTCCTTGTTCTTCCACATGCAACAGCAGACGGTTAGGGCAGCTGCACTCCGGCTCAACCCTTTGAAGAACCCAAAGAGCCCAATAAAGTAAGGAATATACCTCAAATCATATCAGGATCCCTCTTTGATTTAAGGTATATTCTTTAATTAAGGGGTACTGGGCTCTTTGGGTCCGGCTCCACTGACTTGCTCCGCAGGAGGCACAGACTTCGAACTCAGGACGAGTGCATGCGATGGCCAACTTCTCCACGCCCCCCCCAAGGTAGGGGTTCGTTTGAAACCTGAGTTGCAGAGTCGGGAAAAACTAAGTAACTAAGTCGAGACAAATGGGTGGTTCCCAAAGAGGATGCCCCAAATAGAATAGAGTCCCCTTAAAGGGAACCCCCCCCCCAAACTAATTTCTGGAACTTCAGGCCAAAGAAGGCGAACAGCCGACTTTGCTGTGGGTGCATAGCTCCTACGTAGTCCAAGCCCGAAACCCGAATCCCTAAACCGAGAGAGGACATAATAGGTTACTACAGGGGCCTTAACAACTAGAATAGGGTCTTAGGGGGGTTCGTATACTAAAATACTATGGGGACCATAAGGGAATACTACTAGAAATTATTCCCCAAACCCCAAACCCCAAACCCTAAAGCCTAAAACCCCCACATTGCAGGGTAGCTCGGAGCCGAACAATCTTGACGCGAAGGTCTTCGTCGCGCATGAACCAAACGGGCGCCTGCACAGCGGTTTTGGGGTTTTGGGTTTAGGGTTTAGGCTTTACCAGCACCCCCAACTATCCTTTAAACATAATGTTAGGGTATAAGTCTCCTTTAATCTTATTGCCCTTTTATAACCCATATATAACCCCATATATAGATACACACACACACACACACCTCATAAGGGTCCTGCGTACCTAAATAGCCCTTAAAGACCCTAAGGTCCCTTATAAGGGTCCCTCCTTTAGCCCCCGGCTAGCCGCCAGTACTGGCAGCTGATCAGGCTATCCAAGCGTGTTACCCCCCAGGGTTGTACTCCTAAAGGGTTCCTTTCATACGCTCCAAACGATGGGGGTCCAAGGTGCTTAGGGTTTAGGGTTTAGGGTTTAGGGTTTAGGGTTTAGGGTTTAGGGTTTAGGGTTTAGGGTTTAGGGTCTAGGGTCTAGGGTCGAGAGCTTGGACCTCTAAGGAGGGGAACTTTTGAGGCCCCTAAACCCAGAAGCCAAAACCCTAAGGCCCTAAACTCAATTGGACCTGCAGGGGCATCCAGACCCCAAACCTAGAAAAAACCCAGACCCCCCAATCAAAGACCCGAAACCCTAAACCCCAAACCCCAAACCCTAAACCCCTAAACCCTAAACCCTGAGCCCTAAACCCTAAACCCCAAACCCTAAACCCTAAACCCTGAGCCCTAAACCCTAAACCCTAAACCCTAAACCCCTAAACCCCTAAACCCTAAACCCCTAATCCCCTAAACCCCTAAACCCTAAACCTTAAACCCCAAACCCTAAACCCTAAACCCCGGTCTACAATGTGGCTTTTTGGGCCCCTCCAGTGGGGGGGCGTTGTGCCTGCGCCGTTGAGCTGCGCTGGCTGCGCTGCGACTGCGGCGGCAGACAGTGGCTTAGGGTCTAAGGAGGGTGTAGCGTTTAGGGTTTAGGGTTTAGGGTTTAGGATTTACGGTTTAGGGTTTAGGGTTTCGGATTTTGGGTTTAGGGTTTAGATTTAGGGTTTCGTTTCGACTCATCACTTTTTTTTTAGTCCCTAGACCTATGGCAACAACTCTACACCCAGGAGTAACCTAGGAATAAACAGGGCGCCCTTTCGGATGTAAAGGGGCTTGAAAGGGAACCTGAACCGAAAAAGGAATCAGGGGCCTACTCTGGGTCCTAGAACTACCTACATACCGCATTCTGGTGACACTAAAGCTGCATTAACTCCTCGGTCGGGTACTGTGTGTTGCAGTCTCCAGCTTGTTCGTGGAACCCTCGTTCTGATGAAGAAGGTTTAGGGGGTTGGGGTTAGGGCTTAGGGTTTCGTGGTCCCAGTGTATCTTACAACAACAACTCCTCCAGCTTCCCTGAAAACTGCTTGGGCCCCTGAAAACTCAAGTCCT